GTTTGTTTATTGTGCTCTGGGTAGTCTCCATGAGTGTAACTGGTTTTGAGGTGCCCAGATAAGTACACTCACTGCATGGGGGTGAGGGATGCTCAGAAGTACACAAGGAGCAGTGCAGACCCAGCCTCCCTTCGCTGACTGCAGTCTGTCAGAAGGAATCAGCAGTGAAAGCTGACTGCACTGAGTGGGCAGTGCAAGAAGCAGAGAAGAAACATTTGTAGGTTTTTATTTCCTAGTGTCACTGAGGTTAGAGGTGTAGTGCTCCTCATAGGCAACTCATTCCATCTTCCTACAGTGATGCAAACATCTTTTATTCCTTTCCTAGAGTCCTTTGAAATGTTTACCTTGGGGGCTCATCCACGAGAAATACTTGGCCATGATACAAATGTTTTCTCTGAAGTCACTGCTTATGCCTTTCTGTCCTTAAATTTCTTCCTTTGCTATAGTTAATATTAATTTTAAGCAATCTTTTCCCACTCCTGGCATTGTAACACCCTGTGATTCTCTTTTCTATGGCTTCAGGATTCCAGGTTTTAATAAACCACAGCTATCATCTTCTCCTAAAAAAGGGAAAGAGCAAAAATCCAGCATCAGATCCTACTCAGATGCAGTAAGGGGCCAGTCACTCAGGAGCTTGTAGAAGGTGACAGTAGAAATGCTGTTCACTTTAGTTACAGCTCTCTCTGCAATAACTCTATGGTAAGTTTATCCAAGAGTCCTGAAGAGAGTACAGCCTGCCCCGAATAGTTCTAACTTTTCCTGAGAAAGACCTGTATTCCATGCCCATCATCCAGCTGTGCTCTGGGACACCATATCTAAGCATCTGTCCTTTACTGACCCGGGACACTCGTTTCTGAGCTGATAGTTTTAACCTCCTTTCTTTAATCATGGGCTAGTGGTCCCTGACAGTGTACCTCCAGCAGCAGAGATACCAAACTCAAGTGTTTCAGCCTTTTTGGGCACAGAAAGCAACCTAACTACCCAGCCATAACACGTGGCAGGAGAAAGGGGACAGGGAGAGGGGTGAGAAAGAAATATATGCTAAAAAAGACACAGCAACATTACCAGTTATTTTTAAATGGGCCTCAGCCTTGCAAAGCCTGGGGACTGCTGCTGGAGACTCAATGAACTTTCTCTTGTTTTGCTCATGGTACACTTCTGTGTGGGTGGGCTACCTGGATTTGAAGCAAATAGCGTGAATGCAGTTCTTTCCAGTAAATGAAAAATTGTTTTGCTGAGAGAAAACAAGCACTAAAACTAAAAAAAAAAAAAAAAAAAAGAAAAAGGTATATGGGTCTGAAAGTGGCACTTTTCTAAGCAAGATTGTAAGTCTATGAAAAAGCAGTGTTCCCCCTGTGAGCCCCATTATATAAACTAGCACGCTTCAGCAATTCAGCCAGAAACCAGCAGGCCAAATACAACCCTACCATATTAAATTTGCTTTTTGTCAGTGATTGAGTGAGGTTATTTGCTTGTGGTTGGACCCATGCAGAAGATAGCAGCACTATGGTTGTTAGTGGTTGGAGAAGTCCATCCTTAGTGCCATTGTCATGACTTTAACACCAAAATATGAGATAGGCATACATGCAGACAGCATCTGCTGTGTTAGCAGTGTGCTCAGGTGAGTCAGGGCAGCATCTGACAAATGGTGAGAAATATCAGGCCCAAGTGCACTACACTACACACTGTTCAATTGCACTATAAATTGAAGTATGGTGGAACCTGATTGTCATGGAGTGTCCTGGAAAATGTACCACTGAATAAATCTTCCCTACATCTATTTCACCAGAGCGTTGCTACCAAGCAACTGATGATCTGAGTGCTGACTGATCTGGCAAGTCCTGTCAGTAAAACAGTAAAAGAATCCTTGGTTTCAACTGCTAAATAAGGTATGGGAGAGATGAATGATTTTTCAGTTGTGAGGCTTATATATCTGCAAAGAAATGTTCCCAAAGATATTCCCCAGTGATCAGTGTCTCTGATTCATGACAAGAACTTCCAGGAATTCGCTTTATTGAAAATATAACCTGGAAAATATACCTGAAAACTAAGCATTTTCAAGGGGGCTTTGTTCTGTATTTGTCAGACTTGACAACTTTTGAAATAGGTTTTAGTGTATGAAAATATAATGGTCTTTATTAGTGTAAAATGACTTTTTACTTGAGCTCAACAATCCCATGTAGAGCAGAGCATACCCAGAATGCTATAAACCTCTACAAACTGGGCTGGCATTGAAGCTCAGGACAGAAAAGTAATCCTCCACAGATAATTAGCACAGAAAAATGCTTCTAATCTCTTTGTTAGTTCAGTTGTGGTTTTTTATCTAATAATAAACTGAACTTTAAAACCCTCCATCCTCATACATTTTAGCTTAGGCTGCACTGAGCATCTTGTAGTCTGTAGTTTTTTTAGCTGGGCTGTTTTGGTTTATGTGTGTGCTGCACATACACGATCTGAAACACTTCTGTCCTCTGCCTATGTGTGCCTATGAGTGCTGCATAAATACCAAGATATCAGAACTTGGGCCACAATTTACGAAAGCTTTGCGGTGGGGACGTGACTGACTTTACACACGTGCTTAGGTTGCACATGTGGTTGAGTGGTGTCACCTGTCCCTGTGCTGTCCTTACCCAGGCTGGAGCTCTGAAACCCCTTGACACAGCCTGGCTCTCTTTGAATTTGGTGGGGGTTTGGCCAATGATACTGGGGATGGTTTTGCACATTTTTGCTTTGTGGGAAGAGGCTGGGTGAGGAACTGTGGGCTCACAGAGGACGCTCTGGCCACGTGTGACTGGGACCGTCTAGTTCAGCCCTCTGCAATCAGCAGGGACATCTTCAGGTAGGTCAGGCTGCTAAGAGCATTGTTCAAGCTACCCTTGAATGTTTCCAGGGATGGGACAGGGAATATTTCCAGGGATTGATTCTCCTCCTGACTGGGAAACCTGGGCCAGTGTTTCACCGTCGTAATTGCAAAAACCTTCCTCCTCTTCTTCCCCATGCCCTTCCAACTCCTCATCGTTCTTCATCCCTCCAGACCCAGCGAAACCCTTGTGGCTTCTGTGGCTGAAGACGTTCTGTTCTGTTCCCAAAGGACTTGGCGACAAATGGATGAATAGTTTTCATCCAGTTTCCGCGCCGTTATTTGTCGGTGCAAATTCAGTCTATGGCAGTGAGTCCCCGCGGGGTGTGACGCGGGTGCCGGTGCCGGTGCGGGTGCCGGTGCCGGTGGGATGCCCGGGCGGGGCTCACGGCCCCGGACCGAGCTGCCCGTGGTCGCTATGGGAACGGCGGCGCGGGCGGGGCGCGGGGGGCGG